CCCCCCCCCCCCCCCCCCCCCCCCCCCGGGAGAAAGCCTGCATGGCAGGTGGGAGAGGGTGGGTGACGCCGCCTAGCCGAGGGGAGAAGTCGGGATTTGGAGAAGATGGAGGTTGTGTGGGGCAGGCAAAGGGGGTCCCCAGGGGAGAACCCAAGTGCAGGCCAGGTCCCATCAGTGACATGTGGGATAACCTTAACCCCCCTGGGCAGGGAGATTTGGGGTTTGGGGAATAATTCCCGGTGAAGAGAGGAGCCGCAGAAAGAGGGACTCACCTCTTGGTGCTGCCAGATGTCTCTGAGGCTCAGAAGTCCCACCACTGGGCCGCTGGAGGACGCCTGGGATGGGCAATGAGCCGGAAGGGAGTGAAGGGCGGGGTGGCAGGGCCACAGCCTGAGGCTCTCGCAGCTTCGGTGAGCAGCTAATGGGGCGTCCCGGGCTGGAGCTGAGGCCAGACTGGAGGCAGTGAGGGGCTAAAAAGATGATGGGAACGCAGAAGGGGTGAGGGTCAGAATGTGGGTTTATCTGGGTGGGGTGAGTGCCTTAAAGGGGCAGGTCCGTGGGGTCCAGCCGGACACAGCTTTGTTCCCTCCCCGCCACCACCACTGCCTGTTCAAGGCTGCTCTGGGGCTGAGTCTTCCCTACTCCTGGGCAGGCCCCTGCCTTCCTGGCTCACTCCTAGAAAACAGAAAGTACTCCAGTGACTTCAGTCGCGTGTAGCAATGAATATGTGGGACAATGAAGTAATCGTTCAAGGCACAGCTTCTGCCCTCCCCTTGCTTGCACGGGCTGTGGGCATGCTTTGCAAGGAGAAGCCTCCTCTATTCTCCCTCTTCTTTCCCTTTGAGCTGTTTAACAGTGGTTGCTGCCCTTTTTGGTGTTGGCAGAAGGGGGAGGAGGAAAGGCAAGGGGCAGGCAGAGACTTGTTCAGCCAGCACGGGAGTAACCAGGCTGGGATCTCCACTTTGCCTCTCTATGGGTGGCACGGACATCCAGGCTGACTTCTGCCCGGGGCGCTGGGCTGGGGACGTTGGCCGGTACTCACTGGGCACAGGTGACGTGCATCTCCAGCTGACCGCTAGCTTCCTTCTCTCAGCCCTGGCAATCCGGCCTTTCATTCACAGCCCCGGCTGCGGTCACCTTGCCCTTCCAGGCAGACCTCCTAAGCAAGATTTAAAATGGTTCCAGACTGGCTCTCTCTCAGACATGGCCCACGTCTGACCAGTGAGAAAGAAAGCTCTCTGTCTCTCATCTCTGACTGTGCCTGTGTCTCTGTCTGTCTGTCTGTCTGTCTGTCTGCCTCTCTTTGCTGCTTCAGCCTCTCAGTTTCAGTTTTCTTACTGTGGGTGTTCGTCCGCAGACTACTGTGCCCCTTTTGAATTCCAAGTCACCATAATAAACTTCCCTGAGTGGTCTCCTCAAAGCTCCTCTCACCAGGCTTTAGGTTGGGGGCAGCCTGGGATTCTCAGCACAGGGACAACCCCCTCCAAAGAAATGATCTTATTTCCTTTCTAGACCTTAGAGTCGCTAAACTCCTTTCCGAGTCCTACACACTTACATGTGGTCCAGCACCTCACTTTGAACATAGAAGAACTTGCCACATGTTGTTTTGTATTTTGCCTTTGGGAAACACTGAGAAACTGTCAGAACTGAGAAAAAAAATCAAAACAGTGCCATTTTACCTCCTGCAACAAGCGTTTGGGAGACACTGGGTCTTCAGAATCTCTGCTTTGGCCCCACCCAGTGTCACCTCCTCAGAGGACCTCCCTTGATCAGCCCATCAGAGTCGGCCCCTTCCCTCCTTCATAATCATCTTGCGTTGTGTTTACTCAGAGTGCCTGTGACTCTGTGACACCATTTTTCTGGCTCCTCTGCTAGAATGTTGGCCTTATGAGGGCAAAGAGTTCAATCTGCTTTGTTCACTGAATTTTGCAAAGTAGGTGCTCAGGCTGTTGAATGCATGGTCAGTTGTCTGGGCCCCGGGAAGACGGTGAGATCTGGAGCTGGATGGAAGGCGACCTGTGTTCCGCACTCCCCGGCCTCTGGACTTCCTGGCCACCTGCTTTTCACGCCTCAGCAATGCCTATTGTTGACAGCCACATCTCGTGGTCAATTGGTCATGAAGTAGGCTTATGTCAGCAGCTGGGCTAAGAGACAGGGTGGGAAGGCACCCAGTGGTTGCCCGGGAGCCTGAGCCAGGTCTCAGCAGGCTCAGGGCTGCCTTCAGCTCCCTTGAGGGGACCCTACCCTAAAAACCTTTGGGAACCTGAGGCTAGACTAGAGAGCCCCAAGACTGCTATTATGTCTTATCTTGTGTACCCCAACTCTGTGCTGGATTAACATTAACAGGTGCTCAGTAAATGCTTGCTGAATGAATGGTTTAATGACACTGGGCCTCATTTTGGACACAGAAACCCCTTTTAGTGAAACAGTTCTCAAAGTCTCACTTTCTTCCAGAAAAGTGAGTGGTGCTCACAAGAAGTCAAACTGGGGACAAGGTGGATTGATGGGGAAATCAATGCCTTACTCTGTCATAACTCCGAGAGTTGCCATTCTGGCATTCAGCAGAGAGGGAAAGGAGGACAGGAAAGGAAGATGGCACTTTTGGGGGCAGCGACCATGTGTCAGGAGTTGTACGCTCATCACCTTGGTGAGTGGGTAGCCACACATTCCTGCCCTCTGAGGAAAATGGGCCATGGCCCGTTGGCAGAAGCAGGTGGACGAGAGGAGAACAAACCTGAGAGCGGAGGGCCAGCCGGAAGCACCCACCTGGAAAGTCTGAGCCAGGGAGCACACTAGGGACCTGGGGATGGCAGTGAATGACAGAAAAGCTGTGGCTGTGAGAGCACTCAAGGCAGCTGGCCTTTGAGACGTTCTTAAGCAGCTGTGGATTGTGAAAGAATGTGGTAGGTTCACTTTTGAGAATAGCTGTGAGTAATGAATCCGCTTCTCCTTTTTACATTCTTCAAGAAATGCAAATAAACCATGGGAATTTGCTTTGGGGACTTTTGGCTTCTGTGCTAGGCTTCTTATAATGTGTCTCCAGCATCTATAAGATTATGCCTCACTTCCTATGTTGAGCCATCTGCATGGCAGGTAGCAACATGTCCATTTTACAGATGAAGAAACTGAGGCTCAGGCAAGTTGGCAAACTCTGCCCAAATCACTCGGCTAGTTAAGCAGAAGAATCAAGATTCCAGCTCATGCTTGTCCTTGTACAAAGCCAGTGCACTTTTTAGAACAGGAGTACAGGCTCTCCAATCTGCTGAACTGATCACAAAATTACCATGATTCCTTTTCCTTCTCCCCAAGCCCCATGAGGCCTTCCCCATCTCCCCGGCCCCACTCTGTCTCCACAGACTGGAAAGAACTAACTGGTTGTTTGAAATGGTATCTGAGCCATTTTTATTGTGCAGCTCTCTGTTCATTACATGTTTGTCCACACCAGTGTGTCTGTCTCTGACCACGAGACCCCTGAGGGTAGGGGCTGCTAATCCTCTCCATGGAACGCCA